ATGAATTTGCATGGGAAAAAACTGTAATCATGGAGGATGGAAGTGAAACCGGTTCAGGCTTTAGTGCGTCAGCTCCAGATATTTCTCATTGCAGGCTTTACAAATTAGCTCTTTAAACAGAAGGTCCCAAACATGCTGTCTATGTCTGGCACTCATTTAGCTCATTACTGGTGTTTTCATTTAATTTGCAGCAGAGAGGAATGCCAGAGGCCATGAGAGGGCTGGCAAATGATGCAAGCGAATGATGATTCTCTCCAGAGCACAACAAATTAGACCAAAGTGCTATCTGCAATGCACTGACTCAGCTAGCAGACATATCAACCACACTACACGCACACACACACTGCTACTCCTTCTTTCGTGACGCATGCATTGGAGTATGTACACGCTGTAGTGCCCAACAGAATGGCAGAGCTTATCAGCAAGCTCAGGACACAGTGTAACAGCTGAAATAACGGAAGAATTCTGCTAACATACAAGTTACAGCTGCACAGAGGACAGCAAAGATACGGAACCAGTGTGTAAAAGAGTGATGGTTACGGCATGACAGCAAAGTGAATGCAGTTAATGTGCTGTAATTGTCAACCAACTGTTTATGGATCAGCTTTCAATAGGTCTCAATTTACCCATCAGATCTGAGCTTCTGTCCTGTATGCAGGCCCTGAGGGAGGGAGGAAGGAAGGACGGAAGGAAGGAAGGAAGGAAGGAAGGAAGGAAGGAAGTTGTTTGATTTGACTAAGGAAAACATAATTGCTATGATTAAGCTTTCTGTAAGGAGAATACTGTTTATAGCTGCTACAACTTGTAAGAAATAACAAGAACTTACTTGTTTCATGAATGTTCCACAATATAAAATGTAACTGTAAACAGATAAAAAGTGTAATTCTTCAAAATATAAAAAAAAATTGTAATGTTAGCTGTGACATACGATGAATAAAACACATCGGAACATGCCGTTATACGGAAAATAAACAACTAACTTCCCATCGCTAATTATTTTCCTATAACAACATGTCCTGAAATGTTCTACCTTATATTGCTTACTAAAATCTAACATTATATTCCTAAATACTTTCAACAGTTGAAGCTGCTGCCATTTTCCGGTCGTATATGTTTATAATGTGACGTTACACATTGTCACGTTAGAGTTATCAGCAAAAAGTATCCAACTCATAATTACCATAATAACAAGTAACAGTCATAGCTTCATGCAATGCCTTATAACAGCATCAGATGTGCTTTTTTTAATTAAGGATGTGGTTTGCTAGAGCTGGCCTGACCACACCACACATCCACATTACAAAGGCTTCAAGAAAGTGAGATCATCCAAATTATACCTCTAGCAAAATGAGCCCACTCACATATGTAAACAAAGACAACATACTGTGTACAGCCTCCAGGACCTGAGTACAGCAAGCACAAAATACAGGGTTT